GAGATCCGCACGGCGAGCCCCGGTCCCGGTCCCGGTACCGTTAACCCACCCGGTACCGTTCCCGGTCCCGGTTCCGGTTTGCAGACGTCCGTCTCCACCGGGTCGCACTCCGACATCATGTTTCGCTCCGCTTTTGAAGGATTTGTTCAATTAAATAGACATTAAATGACATGGACTGTTTCTCAAGATGTCGGGGTTCCGTTTAAATGTGTCCCCATGTTTCCGGAAGTTCACAAAACCGACGGTAATAGCGGGAAAGTTGTTACTTTCGCTCGCCCACTTGTCCACATAATCCTTAAAGTCTGGTCTCTGCTTCCTCTTGTGCTACTGCGCATGCGCTGCGCGGATATTGCGGTTTGCCGGAGCTGCGTTCACGTGTCGCTTGGAAATTAATAAATTCACGTACGTATTAAAACACGTAAGCAAAAAACAAACAAATGAATTAAATAATTTACAAGTACATTCGCCAAAACAGATTTCAAACAAGTCTAGCTATAAGATATTATGCAGATTGTTTTCTAAGATATACAAGTTTACAATTTCTCTCGAAAAAAATAGTTGTAACAATTTTTTATTCCTTTTTTATCTTACCAATCAATTTCAAATTCCTGGATCACATATTGAAGAATGGTACAGCTGGTTTAATTCTGCTTTAATTAGATGAGTCCCAACCGGGATCTTTAACTACTTTTTTGCTAGAGTTCACAAAATTTTCAACTATAAGAATCACCAATGACAGTCCTGGGAGGACCCTGAAGGCAACAGTGGCCTGACAGAAAATGTCCATCCATCCACGTCAGATTAGCTCCCAAAGAGCTGTACGGTTCCTTTATGGCCACTAGATGTCGACAGTAAAACGCCAATGGAAGACTGTAAATCTTCACATAACTATTCAATCCATAGAAATGTTTCCGGTTTTACACATAAATCATGTTCCCCATTCATGGACTCAACAGGTAAGCTTCCTGGTGTTTGTGTTCACAAACAGTCCCATCCTGTTACAGTCATGCTAAGATCATGACCACTTTTATTATAAGGAGTTTCCTTGTTTGAGCTCATTGTGGTTTCATGCAAACTGAGTAACCAAGTTGATATAGTTTCATTTTGCTCGTGTATTTATTTATTTATTTATTTATTTAAGGAGTGATACTACACATAGATTTAAGAAGCATTTCAATCAATCATGTAAATGTACCTGATTTAGCCATGCAGGCTGATTTTAAAACTCTTCTTAAGACCCACCTCTTTTCTTTGGCTTTTGGCTTTTGACACCATGGAGAGTGTTGATTTTTTGTATACTCATGCATATTTTTTTTTAAAACTTTTAGCTGAATTTCTTCTGTGTTATTTATTTTTCTTGGATATGTTTTTGTGCAGCACTTTGGAAAACCCTGTGTTTGTTTAAATCGTGCTATATAAATAAAGGTGGATTGGATTGGATTGGATTTAATCCTCAACTCTAGCCACTTTTAAGCCAATCAAAATATTGTATTAAAGACTACATAGAACAAAGAACGTGCAGTTTATTTTAAAACACTCGGATTTGAAAATTACTTTTAAATTGTAGGGGTTTCTGAGCCTTTAAGATGATAGATACTGCTGTAAGTTAGCATGTAAAGAAGTCACATGTCAACATAATCATACATTTCTGGAAAGTCTTACATACATGAACTTTTACAATATGCAATGATTTAAAAGATAGAGCAACATTAACAAATGTTTTAACTGTTCGAAAATGTTATGTTTTCTACGAGGCAGATATGACTTTATTTAATTACAGTAGGTGAAACTTTGATAATTAAGCATTCAAAACTGGCTTACTGAATCACCAGATCTTTATTTAGATCAAGGGATGGAGTCCTATTTTCACCAACCCAAATCCACTTTGGCCTTGAAGTTTTCCAGAAGAAAGCCATCTAGAAATGATGAGGAATGATTTTTTTTTTAAAACCCAAACGGCAAAGCATGTAAAGAGAAGGAAGTTGTGTTCAAACGTGATATAATCTATCAAGAGATCCACGTTTCATTTTCATTTTCATTTTCACACGTTAAAGGAAAGATACTGGCGAGTCTTTAATAAGAATCAGATTTGCATACAGCCTTAATCACT